GGGTTAGGGTTAGGGTTAGGGTTAGGATTATCAATCATTAATCATTATTGATATCAGGACCTGATGACATTAAAGTTGGGAACACTCCTGAGTCCTACTGGAGTATCACCCAGGTTTTCCCCCAGCAATCAATACCAATCCCAATAAACGAGTCCATACAGGTGTACGGGGATAAAGTATGCGTACTGTACCGCCCTGGCAACGCGTAAACACACCCACAAGCTACATTGTATCCTGAACTCTTTTAGATTTTACCATCGTCTGTTTCTCAGTATGTATTATGTGTACGAACGCTTCAACTTGAGAGAGTTGCAGCAGGCATAAGGTAAATGTAGGATTTCATAATTTAGCAATACATGAGACTGTAATATATAGTAAAACAGTGACCACTTACTAAATTCCTATATGCTGCATGCTTGCTTTTATACTCCTCGCTTTCCGGAATACTAGGATCAAAGACTGAATGGAATAAAAACAAAGAAATGTTCAAGGTCATGTACCACTTCAACTCCACTTCACTCGGTATCCATCCAGTATCATGCTTAAATAAAATACATCACACAATTCCATTTCCAAGGTTTTGCCAATGGCACATAAAAAAATAACATAATGATTAGAACATATATCTAGCATTACTAACCAAATTACTTGCCAAGAGGTAAATAACCAAAATTACGTTTAAGTAACTGCTCTAACTCGATCTTTTTAAACTAAAATATTCTACACAATATTCCACTATTGGATATGAAAAGAGAAATTAAGCTATCATATCTTCTTATTGGTAAGCTAGTAAGGCTGAGAGGGTCTATGTCCCCCAGGGTACTGACCGAACGTACCCTGGTACTATCTAATATGCTGGACCGTACCTCGCCTACTCCACTAACGAGTCGCCTACGCCTACTACCTAACCCTATCAGATAGTTACCAGGGTACGTTCCGGTATACTGGACCGTACCCAGGGTACGTTCCGGCAGTAACCTGGGGGACACAGACCCTATTAGCTAGTAAGTTAAGAGACTTATAAAACCTTCCTAACTGATGTGTAAAATGATTTTTAAAACAATAATCTCATATTAATTATTTTACTTGTTATGCCTATTTCTAAAGTGAAACATAATTGCCAAAATGGGCAATTACTAAATGATTGCTTTTCATCAAAATTATACAATTAAATCACACTTAAAAAAACAAACAATAACAAATAATATGTATGGTCATATTAAACTCATTTAATAAGGAGGCAATAAACTAGTGGAATAGGCTACCATTAAACACACGAAAGAGCTATTTTAAAATGTTTGCTGGAAATGGCATTCTAACAACATAGTAGTGTAAATAGAAATATAATCAGTTTATTGTGATACATTCTGGCTGAATATTTGTGCGTGCGTGCATGCGTGCGTGCGTGCGTGCGTGCGTGCGTGCGAATGTGTGTGTAGAAATGATTTCATGGTATACTTTAATATACAGATCACTTTACCAGGTCTTAGTTTATAGTTAATGACAATGTTAATATTGACATAATTTTTGTATCATGAGATATTTTTTTCGTGTTTCACATACTGTATATATACCATTATTGTTATAGCATTATTTGGAAATTACAGTATTTTAACCGCTGCGGCTTAAAGGCCAAGACACACTGCAGCGACAGCGACCGACCGTAACGACAAATGACTTTTCAGAAAATTAGAAACTATTGTTTCCTATGAGCCATTGCACACCCATGCGACAACGACCGGCGGCAACCTCGACGACAAAAATATTTAGGAGCGGGTCTATTCTCCAGCGACAGTCGCGGGCGACACTTTACAAATACCCAATCGCAGCCATTTCCATCGGCACGTGACATTACGATTACGTCATAAATAACCAATAATGCTAGCCAAGACGTAGACTGGTCTCCAGCGCTAAACTCGCGCCGCACGTCACAAACAATGGGGCCGCGAACCAGTCTAATCAAAGCATGCAAGTTGTAACAAGCAATGGTCACTATATGACACAGTACGTACGTTGTACGTACAGTACATGATAATTTGCTGCGTATATTTTACTTTATTATCTTATCCTTATAGGCCTACCTAAAGAGTTTTTGCAGCCTGTTATTTAAAAGCAGCAGCAGGAGTTTTTGCCGTTTGTTCGTGTGATGATGTGTGCCACTGTGGCGAATGCTGGGTAAACCCTGACCTAACGTCGGTCGCTGTCGCTGCAGTGTGTTTGCGCCAGTCGCCGCGACTTTTGTCGTTTGTCGTTACGGTCGGTCGCTGTCGCTGCAGTGTGAGTGTGTCTTGACTGGATCTGGATCTGCATAGTTTAGGTACTGCGTAGCCCACGGTTACGTGGATAATAACGCAGGGAGCCAGTAGCTAGCCATGGGGTGTGACCTAGCTTGGGTAAAGCCAGGTAGTTAGCATTTTAGCCGAATGGCACTGAGGGTGGTCACAGCCAGAGTTTTTTTTGCGCCCTCAGTGGTTCTTTTTCTTAGTTTTAGTTTTACGTCCCCATTGCATTGGCCTTACTACTATACTACTAGTACTAGATTGTCGTACCCAAACTTGGAATCTGCACAATCTCGAGATTGTGCAGCGATTGTGCTGCCCAAACTGCGGATTCCCTAGTTTGGCTGACCAATCTCAAGATTGGGCAAACTGAAAACAGTCGGTGATTCAACAACCGCTCATAGCGAGTGTGTGGTGTGCGTGGTGCAAACCAAGGCCAAACTAGGAAGAGATTTATCTCATATTTATCCAATTATTTATTATAATCATTTAATATTTATACAAAGGTGCCAAACACATTGAGGAAAGAAGTTACCGGTATACTGGTTATTGTCATTATTAACTCCTGATTCTATGTATGTTTCGCGCAAAATGTTTATTTTATCTGTTTTCTAATTTATATGTGATGGTCGGCGGAAAAGCCATGGTTAAAATTGTAATGATTTCAGAAAAACGCTAGGTTCGTGGGAGGGGGATAAGTGCAAATGTGCAATGTGTAAATGATTGTATTGATTTCTATCAGGAGTTGATAATGACAAATTTGTCATTATTAACTCCTGATTCTATGTATGTTTCGGGCAAAATGTTTTATATTTTATCGGTTTTCTAATTTATATGTGATGGTCGGCGGAAAAGCCATGGCTTATGTTTCTTTGTTCAACACTACCGACATTAAATAAAGCTTACTCTACTCTACTCTACTCTACGACCTTATTTCATAGTTATGATATAACATTTGAAATCCTAATAATCATATGTTTGTGCAAGCTCTGTTTACCTCTGTTTGCCCAATCTCAAGATTGGTTGCCCAAACTGCGGATGTGCTGAAATTCCAAGTTTGTGCAAGATTCCAAGTTTGGGCACAACAGTATTACTATTTACTATTACTATTACTATTACTATTTACTAACTATTACTGGAGACTGGACTGTGGACACTCTTACACTTATTAGATTTTCTTCTCCCCGAAACTCTGTTTTCAGTACATTTAGTGTACTTTTATTGTAATTATATGCAATAAAGATATCATCATAATAATATTAATCAATAAATGCTCCAGTGACCGAGACAATTAAGCCTAAGTCAACTGACAAAATGTTTACTACTGCACTGTTACTTACTTATAGACTGTTCTTCTATGAAAGTTAAAACAGGCGTTACCCACATAGGACTTCGCAGAAATCCTACTATAGAATCAACAATCCAATCAGTCATCTTTAACGTTTAGCTTTACGAAAGATCAAAACAATGAATTAGTAAAGTGATGTAGCTGATACAGGTGACTATTCCGTGTTGACTGTTGAGATCACCTGCGACTCCGACAGGGATGAAAGAGCGAGCCCGTGTCATGAAACTAAAAGACTTGTGTCTCCCATGGGTAAATCGTTTAACAATTACTTAAACAGATAATCATCTTTATACGATAAATTTGCCACGGGGATGATCTATTTTGAACGCATTCAACAAAAAAACAGGGGTGCTGATACTGTTACTGCAGAGCTCGGTTACGGATATCCCTCGCGGGTCGCGGTTTCCTTGGCGATCATTTTAATGTAAAAATAGTAGACAATGACAAAACGTCAAAAAATATATATTTCTGCCTTAAATAAATGAAAAACTAATGGCTAATTTATTTCGTAAGATTTCACACAATCATGGTTTATAATATTGTATATATAATAATAATAAAAGAAAGTAACATTCTGCGGGACAGTAACGTGGCTGCGCCCATGTTCTCGTGTCAACAGTTCAATGTCTTGTCAGAAATAGCTATCAACAGTCGAGTGTCAGAAAGAACACTAGCATACGCTCCTTATTTACTAAAATTTAAATTCTTATGCAAGACTAGGCCTAGTGCAACATTATAAGTAATTTTTGACATGGAAATAAAAAATATTTATGGAAATACGCTGTCATTTTACGCGGTTGAACACGATAATGGTCTGTGCCGAGAATTTATATTGGAGAATTCTGTTTTTAGTTTTATTAGATGGCTGCTGTTTGCAATCGCACTGTCTATGTTAGGACTTTACTTGGAGCTACACGAGCAGGTAAATTGTGTGGTTAATGAGCTAGCCTTCAAACGAGTCTCTACTGCTAGCGAGTTTTATTGAGCAAAATTTCTTCAAAATTTCAATTCTAGTAATAGTATTACTACTATTACTATTACTATTAGTAATACTACTTAATAACTTATCACTACTAGTATGGTGGATTTTTTCATGTCTAGTCTATGCATCTTATTAGTTTTTATTACTTTGCATTATTTGTAAAGCACCAGTCAATTGACCCCCCCCCCCGCGACAGGGCGGAGAATTAACACTGCCACAGCCCGGGGTGGCCGGGAAATTAACAAGACGTTTTAACAGCGGGGTCATTTAGCCGTGATTTAACAATGAACAGCTCGCATCGGAAGTGGAGATAATGGCGGGGATTTAATGTTGGGGGACTGGAACCGAGTCTTGCCACGCAGGAAGAAATGGCGGACGTGGTAATGTCTTTGAAGAAGCAGGTATTACTATCTTTTGAAATCCTCGTTTATACTGAGCCATCCAGTTTGTTTTATGTCATTCTGTTGAATATAAAAGTGTTAGTTTGGCTGAGAGGGTCTATCTCCCCCAGGGTACTGCCGGAACGTACCCTGGTACTATCTAATATGCCGGACCGTACCTCGCCTACTCCACTAACGAGTCTAGGGAGTCGCCTAAGCCTACTCCCTAACCCTAACCATATCAAATAGTTACCATGCAGGCTACGATCCGGCAGTACCCTGTGGGACATAGACCCTATGAGCGTTAGTTTGGTTGCCTTAGGCCTTTAGATGAAAATCACATAAATAAATACTTAGACTTTACGAACCAGAATTTAGTTTTGTTTGGAATCTGAGAAATGGTCGCCAGTTATAGGGGCTTTTAACAGACTACCTGCCCCTTATGGACGGAGAAATTGCTGTTTTAACACTATGGAAGTGTTAAATTCCCTGCCTCAGTGATGAAAACTTACCCAAAAATGTAGTAGCCAGCTGGGCCCCTAAAGTAAAACTATTAGGGCCCAGCTTATGGCACAAAGCGCCGAAGTTTGGGATTCGTCTTCTTGGAAATTTTTGTTTTTGTGGCTGGGGGGGTGAACACCTTGAATGTATTTCTATATTTTCCCCGAAATATCACTTACCAAACCAGCAATAACAGTCAGCTAACAAGACAGATCACTACCTCTTACATATATTACTTTTTTACAGACAGACTGCATAATTATAGCATGATTTTGGAAAATTCTTTTATTCAATATTTAATTATTTTTTTCAATATATTTTATTTAGTATTGATCACAAATTGTATTAGATTGCATTGGATTATTTTACAACCATGTTACAACCCACATTCCTTCCCAATGATCCGTGGCAATGTCAGATAATAGATATATACAAATACATGAAACATATAAACACATGTGCTTGTATATATCTATGGTCAGGTATACAACACCATATACAACACATGCTCTCGCTCGCACAGTTCCCAGCCCTGAACCAATGAGAGCCCGGTTTACGTTTCACCAGGTGGAATCAACGTAATATGGCTGCCCCCATGAACGAATTGTGACAATGTGTTCCTACTACTAGTCCTAGCATAGATTGAATTTGTTTTCATTCTAGTGGTCAAACAATGTATCAAAATTGTAGGAAATAGTGAGCGAATTGTAATGGCGTAATCATAGCACTGAAACCATAGTTATTTTACTGATTATTGAATGTTTAATTAACTGTATAAACAAACCCTCGCATTACGGCGACTTTTCAATGAAATTCTGGGGCCCAACATTATTTCCACTCTCCTCGGGCGACTGGGCGAGTGTTAATTTTCATCATTGCGCCTTTTCCCGGTGGTCGGGGGGCCGGAATTTCAATTGACTGGTGCATAACTGTTCAGACTTGATTTTTCTATATCTTATTGCTTCAGAATACTGAACGGCTATTTGGTGCATTGGTGCTGTTGGTAATTCTTCTGATAATAAAACTGCATTTAAAAGTTACCAAAGGTAATTAATTAATCAATGTTAAGGATTAAAAATTACTTTATACATGCATGTTTTATTCTATTACTGTGTATGCAAATATTTTATATGAATGTGGTTTGTGTGCATCATGAAAACACTGCACAAAAGTACAGTACTGCTTCCATGATAAGAACCATAATAAGGTTACAGATGTCTATTCAAATTTGTATATTATGACCACTAAACTTTGGATATGAAATGTAAACATGATTAAGGGGCACTTCGCCTCTTTGGAGCAGTGTGTAGAAATGCTTAAATGGCTATATAACTCGTGTGAATAATATCTTTTTTTTAAGAATCGCTTCTGGTGATAGCATCTCTTGGGATACAGTTGACCACAACATTTGCTTCAGGAAGAACAACAACCCAATTTGTTGAGGCCACACATGTACATGATGTTATCATTAATGAAGCTGTCACCATGGTAAGGGTGGTAAAAATGTCTCATTTCTTTTCTTAACGTGGAAGAGGCTCTCTTGGGGTGTACGTTTGTGATTAATAAATAAATTTGCAAGAATGCACAACCTGAGTCCCTCACCCCCCCCCCTGGCCCAGCGCAATTTGTTGTGACATGCAAGTCACGCAGATGTTCTTTTTTTTAGCACAGGATAATCTTCTACTTGGCCATATTACAAAACGGCATCAATTATCAAAACAAAACTGAGAGGTTAATGCCCTTATTTCAGGTGAGCTATTGAATTGCTTTTGTATGTATTATTTGCATTGTAGAAGAATGCATGTGCACGTAAAATACATTTTATAACTGAAGTTTCTATCATGTTTGAAATATAACATATAAATATTGTATGTGTTGGAAAAAGTCAATACTCTTTGAAATTGTTTTCACTTAATGAAGTTATACTAGCAAAGAGTGCTAATATGTTTCTTTTAGTCTAGATGGAGTCATTGTAGGCTAAGGTCATAAGAAAACATTTGTGTAAACTACATGTAGTACCACATTTGTGTAATTTTACATGCATATATTGTTCATTGCAGAACTTTTATCCTCGGCTGGATTGTTTACGGAAAATCTATGAAGGTGTGCAGAAGGTGTTATTTCACAAATCTAAGGACACCCTTGTTGATATAAAGTTTACCTGATAATAACTGATCTCAAATGTTGATAACGTTACATAATATCAGGGGTAAATAAAAGTTGTCATTATCTACCCCTGATTATATCAATGTGGTTTTCCAATGTGTATGCATAAATAATCTAGCATAATAATCTATATATGTACATATTGTAAATGTGTTTCACTTAAAGCATTGACATGAAATTGAACATTTAAATGCTTAAAATGATATCTTTAAGTAATGTAAGTCTATATTTATTTTTATTAAAAAAATATTTCATAAATGGTCTACAGCTTATATTTCACACTAATTATATCACTCAAATGTCAAGCAAGTCCTGTTACTGTCAGATGCAACTAAGCAAGCTCACTATAGTGTGGCACGGACAGGACCTAAAGTTCCAGTATCCAACACAACATGGGTGCACAGGTCTGACCTTCACCTGACCTTCACACTAGATCCAGCCAGGATTTGAACTTTCCCTGTCCTGTATGTGGAGTGAATCCTCTAACCTTTGCTTACTGCGACTGTAGCAGGATCTGGTGATCCCAAAGCCTATGGTGTGTGATAAGCATCATACAATAATTATGATAAAGTTTGTTACTACAAAAGTTTCAGGTTGGACATGGGGGCATATTAGCTGACGATTCAACAGTTGTTAACTCTACCAGTCATTGCCTATATGCATTTTCGTCTTTTGTACTATGCATGAAATTAGTAATGTAAACCGTCAATATCATACACCTGTTTGCTATATTATTAACTAATCATGAGACCCTTGAGAGTTTTTTTAATATAGAGTCTCTGTAAAATTCAAATATTTTTGCGCTGGCATGCTGTGCACTGAGTAGGCACTCTTGATATTCTTGAGATGAATAGATTCCTGATGTTGTTGTCATAATAACCCCATTTGTCTTGCTGTCAAAGGCAAAAGTCAACACCGCTTTGCCATCCTGCAACCGAACAGGGGAAAAATCAATTATTTCTGAATTTGTTAATTTTTGTGTTATGACACAAGGATCTAAAAATCTTTATACCATTTATAGTAACAACTTCATGATACATGAATTGGTAAAAAAAAATGGGCAAAATGGCACATTTCATAATACATGTTGAAATGCATAGCAAATTCGTTTTAATTGGTGATTAATTTGCCAATGATTCACTTAACACTGCCTATAAATTATTATTCAAGCGACTATAGTACACGTATAACGGTTGCTGTATAACGACACCAATAATCTTCATGGTTTTACCTCAGCAATTAATAAACTATCTATCCACATTTTACCATATACGGTACATACAAGGTTTACACTGTTGACATACTATAAACTATGTTACACTAGTCACCACTATGATCGGTAGCTGAAGCATAGTCACAATACTTGTTTGTTTCAAGTAATTTCTCATCCTATGGTAAAGCAACATACCTCCTCTTGTTTAGATGTTGGATCGAGAATAATGTGACCTTCCTGATCAACAGTGGTAGTAACTGCACAGACTAGACATCGCATGTTAATTCCAGCATCCATCAGTGCCTGGCAACATGCATTAATACAGCATGATAAAAGCTGGTGTAGCCAATAAAGGAAGAATCCAAACACGTTTTTAAATAAAACGCCGCGACAGTACTCGTCCACAAGGTTTGTGTTCCTACATGGACACACCATTGTGTTCCTACATGGACACACCATTGTGTTCCTACATGGACACACCATTGTGTTCCTACATGGACGCACCATTTACCTTAATCA